GCTAAAGACATAGAAAAAAACAAAACAAAACAATGTAACTTAAGTCCTGCAGTGGGCAGTCTGTAAAGAAAGATGGTTTTGTTTGGATGATTAGTTTGGACTTCGTGGAGATTGGCAAAATTTCTTTTTCTGTCTCCTGGCGTGGGCGGGGTTTTGCAGTCTCAACAGTAAAGCTTCAGCTGAATTCTCATTCCCTTACATCAGCCCACTCTCCCTTTCCCTCTCACACGGAGAATCAATGAACAAAGTGGCCACTGTTGGTGCTGTGGTCACAGGCAGGCTCTCTCTCTCTCTCTCTCTCTCTCTCTCTCTCTCTCTCTCTCTCTCTCTCTCTGTGTGTGTGTGTGTGTGTGTCTGTATCTGTCTCTCTGTCTCTCTCTCCGTGTGTCTCTGGATCTGTCTCTGTCTCTGTCTCTTGTCTCTCTCTCTCTCTCCTCCAGCCACCCTGCTGGATGGTCAGACAGAAGGCAGCCTGGCACACTGGGTGGCAGGAGAGATCTGTTCTTGTCCCTCCCTGCCTTTCTAGTCAGTGCCTTGGGCTTGGGGTGTGGCTGAGGCTCCCAAAGTCCCTGAGAGTCACACTCATCCTTGGCAAATGTTACAGTAAATTTCTTGGTCTCCATCTCAGGGACAGAAAAGATCTTTGTGGGGGGAAAAAATCAACAAAATGCAGCAAATGCAGGCGTGCTTGTCTCCCATGACTGGGATTCTGGGTTAGTTAGCACAGATAGCAAGCAAAGAAAGCAGAAATGTGAAAGGTTATTTGGAAGCAATTTCTAGAATGTTTTCTGGGATGCCAGGGTGGGAAACTGGTCTTTTAAATTTAAATAAAGTTTGTATAATAGGTCTGCTTTGGGAGAGACAGGTCATGACTGGTTTTGGAATCTCAAATCCAAGTGTGTGTGTGGGAGAGAGAGAGAGAGAGAGAGAGAGAGAGAGAGAGAGAGAGAGAGAGAGAGAGAGATTATATAGCCCAGGCTGGCTTTGAACTTCCAGCAAGTCTCCTGCCTCTGCCTCATGAGAGCTGAAACTGTAGGTGTGTACCATCACACAAATCTGAAAATGAGTATTTTTGAAAGTATGTTCATGGGCACAGAGGCACAGGCTGTCCTCATTCTTTTGAGGGCAGCTACAGTCAGAAACCTTCACACTCTATGAAGCCACAAGAACCTCACTTGGCCTAGGTTGTATGAATATACCTCCCAGGGCTGAGAGAAAGCCAGTTAACCAAAAGAGCCAGTACTCGGTAGATCTTGGTAGCCATTTTCCCTTAGCATTCCATCATAGCCTCATTGCTGTAAAGTGTTCCAGAGCATAGACCCATCCCTCTGTTGAGGGTATTTGTAAGCAAAGAACAACTAATACACATTGCTCTAGTCCCAGAGCTGGAGGCTCTTCCTTTCTGGTTCTTCCCTGCCAAGTGTGAGTCTGGATTTACGCCTTGTCGCTGACATCCTTTGCTGCCTTGTTAGAAGATGATGAAATATGGATCTGTTCAAGTTTAGATTTCTCTTTACAACATGGAGTCAAATACTTGCCATGGAATGGCATCGGGGAGACTAAAGCTGAAGTACACAGAGGCCAGGTCAGAGAGTGGACAACAAAGCAACCCTGGGTAAGGGAGTCAATTCATTAGCTCCAGCATGCCAGAGCATCAGGAGTTCAGGGCTAGCCTGGGCTATTCCATGAAACCCTGTCTCAAAAAAAATGAAACCCAAACAAAGCCAGATAACCACCAAAAAGTATTTTACAAGATTGTTTATCCAACCAACTTCAAATGGAAGTAAAGCATTATTTATATGGCTTCTAAGTAACTACAATAGAATCAGGAACAAGAAATAACCCAGAGCTAGAGATTCAGCCCAACTGTCAAGAACATGTCTGCTTTCTCAGAAGATCTAGGTTTAGTTCCCAGCACATGGTGGTCCCCAACCTGATCTGATGTCTTCTTGTTTCTGGGATCTAAAGGACATGTGTGGTATGTATACACACACTCAGGCACACACATGCCCATAAAATTAAAATAAACCGAAAGTCACACATGCCAATAAATAACCCAAATTAGTGTTTATAAGCTTATTTTTTGGAGACAATGTTGCTATGTAGCCCAGGCTGGCTGTGGATTCCCAAACTCTGTGTCAGCAGTGACCAAGCGCTGGGCTCACAGGCTGGAAGCACAGTCACCTTCATAAGTGCTTTCTGTCGTGTTGCTTGTATAGGATGACTGTAGCCAGCCCGTCCCAGTCAAACATCTACCCTTCCCCACTACTATGAGTGATTCTCCTCCTGGAACTTCTGTAGTCCCAACACCTAGCATCCCAAATGACAGTATTTAGCTTTTACATTTATCTATCACTTGGTTGTGGGTCAGTATTTTTACTCTAAAATGAAAGGGTTTCTATTAGCTGCATAGTATGCAACTATGCCAATCACATTCTTTCCCATCAAACTCTTGGTAATGTTTGTTATTTAAAAATGTGTTACGTTTCCATTTATTTCCTTATTGTGTATGTGTGGGGGCACACTTGCCAAGGTGCACGTGTGGGGATTGGAGGACAACTTGCAGGGGTCAGTTCTCTACGGCTACTATGTGGGTTCCAGGGATCAAATTCAGGTCTCAAGGCTTGGCAGAAAATGCTTTTACTGAGTCACCTCACAGGCCCAATATTTGACACATTTTACCAAATTACCTCTTAGAATAATTTGGTAGGTCCCCAACAATGTACATTTTGAACTAGGATTTCCCATTTTTCCTAAAAACCAATTTTGTATTTTCTTTTCTTTTTCCCCCTAATTTAAATGTGTGTGAGGTATCTTATAGTTTTTAAATTTTCAGTTTTAAAAGCATGATTAATATGAACATTTTCCCATTTTATTTTCTGTTTTCATTTGAGACAGTGTCTTGCTATGTAGCTCAGGCTGGCCTAGAACTGAAGCTCTTCTGGGCTCAGTCTCCTGAATGTGAGGATATGAAGCTATCATACCCTGCTTTGTTTTTTAAGACTAAGCTTTTATATCATTGTGTAAGTATTTTAATTCAGGGGATGGCATGCTATGGCCCATCAGCCAGATCTGGCCAGCCTTTATTCCTAAAAGTAAAGCTGTATTGGTGCATAGCTATGTTCACTTGTGTACTTGTTTATATATATTACTGTCTCTGGCTGCTTTTTTGTTGGAACTAAACACTAGCTCATTTGCTCTCTGGCCTTTAACTGGTAATCTGTCTCACAGCTTCCCACACCAGACTCCAGTGCTGTCTGTCACACATTTGAGCTCCCTTCCTCCAGTACTGAGTGCTTTCTTGTCCTTGCTCGCACTTCTGTGATCCCAACCTCACTCTGCCAGGGTGGTCCACCTTCTGAGAGGGACCATTCCCTTCAAGTCAGACTCACAATGCTAACTTCATTAGGAGATACTGACAGCTGATGTATGAGAATCAGAGGGTTTGGGAAAGCACTTCGTGAAAATACAAGATACTATATAAAAGCAGCAACTTCTAACACTGCTTAGCAATTGGTGCATGTGGCAGCATCAATGTCCATCACTGTTTCTGCTGTTATTTCAAACCACTTACCCAGCACTCCCATCGCCTCCCAGGGAGTAGACAGTCTTCCATTTCTTATAATACTGTATTGATCTTCTATCAATACAGTGAGGAGCCTCGATGAGTTATTTTGATGATACCAAAGGTCAACTTGGAACAATTATAAAAATTTCATCAATTCAAATAATCATTTAAATGACTAAAATATAAACAAACAAGCAAGCAAGAAAGCCCAACCATCTGCATCATCCTTCAGTTAATTCTGGAAAACAAAGGTTGGAGTATTAAAGGAATAATAAATACATTCTACATCCTCCCAAGAGAATACTAAACCAAAGAGCAATTCTTTCCTTTGGTGCATTATAAATGCAAGTAGTTACGAGAAAGGAGAAAATAAAGCCTTGGAAGAAAGTTTCATTTATTCAGAGAAAACCAGAGTTTCTGAGTCAAAACATTTTATGTAGAAGTGATGCCCAGAATCTTTGGAAATTCTTCTTCTGCAAGGTGTTCTTTAGAGCACGGAGCTCCAACTTCTCCCAGCTAGCTGCAGTCTTTGCTCTGATGGTACCTCCTTCCTTTGAATCATCATAAAATGTATCAAAAAGCTGCAATATGTCATTGTGTGCATGTACAGACGCAGTTTGTTAATTTTAACAAGGATCTTTTCCTTTTGCATTGTGAACAGGCTGGGTGTCCCTCTTGTGGAGGGAATGCCTGGTTGGTTATTGATGCTCAACCCTGGACCAGAAGCCTCTCATCAGTCCTACCTTCTGGGGAGGAGGTGCCTGCTCCTGCATCTCCTCCATTAACCAGCAACTCTTACTTATTAATAGTACTGCCTGCTCTTCAGGAAGTGCAGTCTACAGGAAGGTCAGAAAATAAGCAAAGGAGAGAACTTGAAATTGATTTTCTTCTGCTCTGTGAAATTACATGAGAGTTCAGTGGCTTGCAGCAGTAGCTGAGTCAATATGGTTCCATTTGAGACTACCTTGAAGTCCAATGCTTTTCCCATCCTTCATACACTTCCTCTACTGGCAGATTCATTCATATTTAATCATCTTTTGTGGTGAAATAGTATGACCTTTATTCACAACACCATGGGGAGGATTTTGCTCAGGGTAGAATTGTGATTTATTCCAAGGAAACGGTTTGCCCTTGGTTGTTAAAAATCAACATCACAATAAAATAAATCTGAAAATGCAAAGGATGAAAAATAAAAATACTAATGAAGTGAATCATAGGACTCCTTGTAAGGCAGTTTTTCAGTAGTGTTGCTAAGTCTTCCTGGGTTTGAACCACAGAAAAATCAAACATAAAGCCTTGTAGTGTGGGGCTGAGCTAAAATCATCATGTCAGCTTCACCATTATCCTTTCTGTACACTCTCCTGAATGCTGTTCTTGATCACTTACAGACCACAGAAAGGATGTTAATACTCTCTATGGTTTCTGTCTTTAGGGAAGCAATAAGTCGCCTGTGTGATGCTGTCCCTGGGGCCCACGGAGCCATTAAAAAGCGAAAGGTGAATATTTACATGAGCTTCTTATTTTATGTCTCTTTAAGTATGGCAAAATGGTATAAAAGTAGTCATTTTATTCCTGGGTTTCTTTAATGTTTTTATTTGTGGCCCTTTTTGCCTGAGAATTCTAAGTATGTGTGTGCATGTTTGAATGTGGGTGTATGTGTGATGTGTGCTCGTGGTTGTGGAGGCTCAGTCTCCCTCCAGATCTATCTATCTGTCTGTCTATCTATCTATCTATCTATCTATCTATCTATCTATCTATCTACCTACCTACCTACCTATCTATAAGCCAGGCTCTTTCACTGACTTTGGACTTGCCAAGTAGGCTAGCTGGCCTGTGAGCCCAAGGGATCTGTCTCTAACAAGCCGCCCCTGCAACCAACTTCTCTCTCTCTCTCTCTCTCTCTCTCTCTCTCTCTCTCTCTCTCTCTCTGTGTGTGTGTGTGTGTGTGTGTGTGTGTGTGTGTGTGTGTTCTGTGGAAGTTGGGTCTTGGATTTGGATTTTTCCAGGCTGGGCTAGATAGCTGGGAAGATTACCAACTGTTTACATGATCCTGTCTATAGAGGTATAAGATACAAACCAAACATTTATTGATAATAAGGCATAAATAGATTTATTTTAAAACAATTCTCTGGTCTGGAGAGATGGCTCAGAATGTAAAAACACTTGCAACAACAGCTACACAAATCCTTAAATTCCACCCTGGATCCCATGGTGAAGGGATAGAACCAACTTCTAAAAGTTGTCCATTTACCTCCACATGTGTGCTGTGACATGCACATGCCCACATTCATTAACACACTTTGGTTCACACAATACAATAATCATAATAAATAAGCAATAAAAATTGTCTGGTATACATATGATTTATGAAAACATTTATTAACGGTGAAAGCAAATTTAAATACTAATGAGGATTGCTTATTTGTTTTCAAATAAATAGTTAAATTTTGGTTGCATATTTGATAATGCAGGATACAGAATATCTTGTACCTGCTTCAGATTTGACCAATATTTTATTCTGTGATTGAAATGAGACTTATGTGAAGTGAGAATGTCACCTGACATAATTAAGTAGTACTAAGTGGCAGAAGTATGTCTCTAGGACCATTTCAGAATTTCTTTGAAATTTTGACCTACTCTCAAGCCAAAATTCATTTAATAATACTTTATGAAACTCAAGTGGATGATTCAAATAGCAATTTTTCTTTCATAGTCCAACATTGTAATATAATGCAACACAAAGATATAATAATTTGATTCCAATATGCTAACAAATGACAGTTGGAAAATATTATGTCTTTTGATCTTCTGTAGTCAAACCACTATTTTTCATAACTCTGTAAGTACGTGAAATTCTGCAATGTCCCTAGAATAACCTCATCTCTAATCTGTGTCAAGATGTTCCAGGCAGCATGTGTTGGTGCTGTGGGTTCTGACACACGCACTCTGACACCCACAAGTCACACAGCCATTCCAGCTCACTTGGTTTATGTAAAATAAAACAGAGAGGAGATGATACACATCCATAACTTATAGCAGTGTTTTGTTACTTTTAAAGGCTCCTGTTAAGTTCCTGTCAACGGTTCTTGGCAAAAGCAATCTTCAGTTTTCAGGAATGAATATAAAACTGACTGTTTCGACGTGCAGCCTCATACTGATGAACCTTGACAACCAACAGGTAAGATAGCCAATAATTATAGTTTAGCATATTTTTTTTCCTGTGGTTAGTAAGGGATTAAGGTGTCAGGGTGTGATTACAATTTAATAAGCCAAAAAGGGGGAAATTGCCTGAGATTTATGCATTCAGTAATTAGAGTTACTGATAGTGTTACTATTGCTGGGGAATTTAACTGCCTACAGAACTACTTATTGTACCCAATTGGCTCTGTATAAAGAACCAAAGATAAAAGGACATAGCTAATGTTGTTTGCCAATTAATACTGCTGATGTGGTTATCAGACTGAGGTCAGATAACGGACAAAGAGCAAAGGTGATGTTGGGGTTAACATGTTAGGTTAATGTGTTATAAGAATTTTCTCCAGGGATCGGGGACTAGTCAACATTTACCTCCCCTCCTCTTAAGGTCTCATTGACAAATTGTACAGTTCCCTAAAGTTTACCCTGGGAAACTAATGAACTTGGCTCATGAATCATAGGTGAAGGGATATAGGCAGGAGAATGGAAGGCCTTCAGTCACACCTAAAAGTCTGCACCCAATATGGATGGTGACTCCTATGGCTGTTTAGATGGAACCTGGTCCCTAGTCCTTCCCACCTAATGTAGTTCTAGCCCCTCTCTGAGACCACATACAATTAGGGCAGAATTGCATTCAACTAGTTGAGAGGAGTGGCTAGATACTCTGCTGAAGGTCCCATGACCCTCCCTTCCCTTCCTTCTTGTGAAGGAATGTCAAATCTTGTTGACTGATCTTTTGCAAATGGGTACAGCTGAATTCTTGAAGATGGAAACAAACGCAGCTAACTGAAATTTATGCAGAAAGTGTCACCTTCCAGGTCTTTTAGTTGAAAAGCTTTCTAAGATAGAACAATGTGGACATCGTTTTCCTTTCATCATTTATAATGCTATGGTCTACCTGGGTTTTCCTAGCAATGTTATTCACAGGAGAACCACACTACTGCAACAAATGTAGAAGATACAGAGACACTGTACCAAATAAGTATGGGGACTACAATGTAAGAGTCTCATGCCAGGTTACTTATACATGTTGGAGCCTGGTGTTGCTAATATATAGTAACTGAGACTATTATTATAGAGTGCTGTTTACCAAGGACTCATGGATGGCTGAATCTCACTGGCAAATGACAAAGCATTTAAGACCCTTAAGACCATATAGGAGCTTTGCAACTTGGTGACAGTTTTCTGGCATCATTTAGCGTCAGTTTTCCTCATTGGTGACCTATCAGTCACAGTACCTATTCATAAGGCTTCTTGCTTTGAATGCTGCTATAAGGTCATTTAGAGGATTAAGTGAAGAAATGAATGCAAATAACAGCACAATGCTGATAATGTGATGCCAATATTGTCTACTCATTCTTTCTCCAAGGCCTTTCCAGATACATTCCTATCACTCGAGAGGGCAGAAGCATAATTATGTAAAATTGTCAACAATTTCACTGATGCTTTTTTCTGATGATGAAATGCACAGCTATTTAGTAGTATATAAAATACCTCAGAGGACACTGCTAAATGAAACAACTTATAGTCCTGTTTAGTTGGGTATTGATTATCCAAGTGTAGGTAATACCTATAGTGGGTATAATGGCTGTACAGTTTTGAGGAACAAATGTCGAAGATGCAACACAAATGATATTTTATTCACCCATTCATCCATTTTGACCTCACGGTATTTGTATATGTAAACTACAATTCTGATTTTACTTGCATGCTGTACCATGGGGACTCACTGTGTTTAGGGATGACATCTCTACTCAAATTACTGTTTTTAAGAGGCAAAGCTCGAGATGTGGTGACAGCCTCATGTACAGAGTCTAATAATGGGTTTTTGTTTTTGAGATAGGGACTATGTAGTCCTGGAACTCACATTGTAGACCAGGCTAGCCTTGAACTCAGAGATCCTGACTCTGCCTCCTGAGTGGGGATTAAAGGTGTATGTACCACCTCTGGTTAATAATTGTTTTCTTATGGCCCTTCCCTTGGGGAGACTAAAGTGAATTGGGGAGTGTGAACAATGGGGTTGAGGTACACATGCTGGTGAAGCATCACCCTGCCTGTCACCTTTCTCCTTTAACCATAGCAATTAGAGGTATGTTGTGTGACTCTTGCTGGGGAACTGTCAACAAACATGTTGGCTCCAGGTAAGGCACCAATGACTGACCAATCAATTCTGCCCAAATCTGCTTAGTGATTGGTGAGTGCCTTGAGCCTACTTATAGGACAATGGGTGAGAGGTTACTAATAGGTGCATGGATGACCTCAATGGCAGCTGTATCAGTGAAAAGGAAAAGCCCATCCAGTGTGGATGAGGACTCACAAAAGCTGCACCTCTGGGGCTTCCTGTACTAGCCCTCGCTGGGTCGTTTAGACTCCTCTGCTCATTGTTACTGCTTGCACAGCCTTGGGCAGGGGTCTCTGGAATCACACAAGTTCCTCTGACATATATTTCATATAAACCACAAAGAGTTAAAATGTGCAAGGGGTGAAGCCAGTGGAGAAGCCTTTATGGCCATAGCATGGGAAAATGACAAAATAATCACAGGTTATGAAATGTAAGGGTATATAGGGACTGGGGAAATAGGCTGCTAAGCCTGATCATCTGTTTGAATCCCAGGCTCACATGGGAGGAGAGAACCCACTCCTGAAGGCTATCCTTTGACCCTTGCTTGCCCATATACACACACAAACGAATATAAATTAAAAACAAAACAAAACCACTCAAAGAAATACCAATGCATGGCTCTCCTCTTACTTTGGTCCCCAAATACAAATGCATATGGGCATTATATTACTTTTCCAGGGGAGATGTGAGCAAAGGACTATTTACCCCAAATAGACACCAATAAATCAAATCAGTGATTCCCTCAAGTGAGCCACTGAATTACTGGGTGAGTAAAAAGGAGGCTGAGGTGTTACTCAGGAGTGTTTATAGCTGTACTACAGAGGGTCCCATCCTAACATGGGTGACAGCCTCCCAAATGTCCTCAAGTCAAATCGTCTTCTCACCTTTCATATATTTTAGCACTGACTGAAACCACGTTATGGGGGCAGAATTATGTACAGTTGCTGTGGAGGAGCACAAGGGACTGACTAGAACCCAGTGAGGGTCTAAAGTTATTAACACATTTCCAATCTTGGGGGTTATTTCTCTCCCTCTACCACGTGGGCTCCTGAGATCAAACTCTGGTCATGAGGATTGGCTGTATGTCAGAGGGTGTTTTTACCCACCAAGCCATCTACTTGCTCAGCCTCCCAAACAAGATGAATGTAAAACAAATAAACACCTCCCTCCCCCAAATCCTGGGGAGTTATCTACTATCCTATATTCCCATTGTGGCACAAGAACATTCAGGACTTTTTAATTCATCATAAAAGATGTGCTAATGCAAATTTCTTCTTGGCATGGCCTTCGATGAAATTACCACTGAAGGAACTTCAGCATCTTCACCAAATAACCTACAGCAACATATACACAGGGGTTTCCATAGGCTGCTCAATTCTTTCAGAAAATTCTATTGGTCAGCTAACGGAAAATGGTTCATTTTACCTTTGTAAGCACTGGCTGTTTAAATCTTAGGATGGATGCAGTGACACACATAGTAAAAGAATCTTGTTTGAAGTATGTATGCAGAGCTATTAGACAAAACAAAATACACTGAACATGAAAATTTATTATCGCCAATGCTGGTGCATAGGGACTAACAAGCATAATCAGAAGGGGGAAGGAGGGAGAGAGGAAGAGAGGGAGAGAGAGAATGAGTATCAGGTACCCAGGTGGACTTCTAAGCACGTTTAGACCTTCAAAGTCTGACAGTGTAACAGCTCATAAAATATTTTACAGGTGCAGGTAGGGTTTCCTTTTGCTTGACAATTTTCACAAACAGTTCTTACAATATGAAGTTCAGCTATAGTCTTACCATCTGTCAAGGTAAAAAACAGTGAGCAAAATTTCCCTAATATAAAAGGGTATTAGAAAGTTGTCTTTGGACTTTCCCATAAATTTTAATGCATGAACTTAAAACTTTAAAAAGACATCCTGGTTGGGTATTTTTTTTTTTTTTTATGTAACTTTAAAAATAATCACAATGGATTTTTCCAAATTACAGCTCACAATAGCTTTATAAATCATGAAGATACATGTGCAGTCAGAACTCCAGCTTTTGTAACACTTTTCAAGATAACAGTACACATAACATGTCTAGACTTATACACACACATTTACTTTGCTTTTTTCTTTGGGGTTGATGAATACTCAATTTTAAAGCTCAAATTTAGCTTCTGATAACTGACTTATATAAACTACAAAATAGAATTTGGAAAGTTTTCTCAACAGGTTTTCAGTTCGAATCAAAGATATCTTGTGGATGTATTTTTCCTCATTCTTTAATTAGATTCTTGTATCGACAGTCACAATTTTCTCTTGCAATACCATTTTTTACAAGCTTAACACGAGCTAGTTCTTCCCCAACGCAGGGAAAAAATCATCTCGTTCAACAGTCTGAACCAGAGCTTTTTTTTTTTTTTTTTTTTTTTTGCTAAGCCCCTCCTTTCTTGACTCTCCTTTTCCACGACTGCACGGTCACTCACTGTTTTGTCTTCTATTCCGAGAAACAAAAACCGGCTTTTTTGTTTGTTTTGCACAAAACTAGTTGGAATGAACCCAAAAACAGCAGAATGTTGGATCTCTCCCTCTCAGGTAGTTTCCTCCTCTTTCGTCAGCATTTACTCTCGATCAATGATCTCATCACAACCGAGCTCTTCGGTCAGTCGATTGACAACCATCAGCGAAAACAGCTCTTCGATAAAAGCTAGCTGGTCGAAAGGGCTCTTCTCGCACCGCGCCTGAAAGCCGCCATCCAGGGCATCTCCGGCTCGCGCCGTTCTCAGGAACACCTTGTTGGCTTCCTCCAGCGCGGCAGACACCCTGTGCATCGCGCCGCTCCAGCGCTCCTCTTCCGGGAAGTCGTAGTCGTCCTCCCAGTCATCGAACTCGTCGCCCTCCAGGTCTGCGCCAGCCTCGGGGAACAGGCCGCGCTGGGCGCGGGCGGCGGCAGGCGCGGCCTCCTCCTCCATGGGGCCCTCCTCCGGGGCCTGCCCGCGGGCCCCGCGGCCTACCTCCATATCGCCCTCGCCGGGCAGCACGTCCATCTGCAGCTCGTTGCTTTCTTCGTACAGCTCGCAAAGCTCTGCCATCTCCGCCATGGTGGAGGCCACTCAGCTCAGCCAGGCAAAAAGCTCCCACCGAGATGGACGCGCCAACGGGTGTGGTGCGCGTGCGCAAGCAAGTGGGCGGGCGCGGCGCGCGTGCGCAGACGAGTGGGCGGGCGCGGCGCGCGTGCGGGAGTGCGGGAGTGCGCAAGCGAGTGGGCATGCGTGATGCGCGTGCGGGGCCCGGGACACGTGCGCAGGCGAGTAGGCGGGCGTGGTGCGCGTGCCAGCGTGGCGCGCGTGCGCAGGCGAGTAGGGCGCCTGGCGCGCGGTGGGCGTGGTGCGCGTGCGCGAGCTCTTTGCGGTTCCCCCCTCATAATCACTCTCATCACCCACTACTCCCCCCTTCCCGAGCTGGGCTCGACTACAGGAAGCTTCTGCTGGATCTGGACCTTCCACCTGCAGACCTGCTCTAAGCTCCTTGATGTGTGTTTGCTCTTGTTGCACTTCTCACCTCACTGCAAGCCAGAAAGCACAGGGCTCCTTCCAGAGACTGTCGCCTCTCCCCCACCTCCCTGCTTCCCCAGCATCCCCTGCCAGTCATCCACCTCCCTGCCTCCTCAGCATCCCCTGCCAGTCATCCATCTCCTGCCTCCCCAGCATCTCTTGTAACCAGGACATCCACTTCTGCTCATCATTTCAAATCCACCTCGCCCGCCGGCTTGGGCAGCATGGAAATTCAGCTTTACATCACCCCCCCCCCTTAAATAAACTGAAGTTGACCTAATCGTAAACAAATTGTGTGTGTGTGAGTGTGTGAGTGTGTGTGTGTTGGGGGTGAAAGCCACAGTATGAGTACTCTTTTAGGCTCACAGACTATGCATATTTTAAATAAACATGGGTACATGGGTAATCAGGCTCCACAGTTGTTCTACAAACTTAACCTGCTGTGTTTGAGGATATTCACACCCTTGCCGCCTTGTTGTCTTACTGAATTAATAAAATTAACTTCAGTTTTATCAACTTGTTCTCTTTTATGTGTATCGATTGGTGTTTTGCCTGCGTGTAATGCCCATTCACCATGTGTGCACCTGCAAAGGCCAGAAGAGGATGTTGATCTCCTGGAAATGAGATCACAGTTGTGCACTGCCCAGTGAGTTCTGGGACTCAAACTCTGGTCCTTAGTGTGAGCCGCCAATGCTGTTTCCTGCTGAGCCAACTCTCCAGCCCTGAGATTGTATCTTTATAATCTTCCCATAACTTTAATTTATTGGAGGACAATTATCTTTCAGTAGGTAGAAAGGACATTTGCTTTCTTTCAATGCATTAACAGGCCTAACTCTATGTTTGTTTTGCTGATTTATAGGAATCCTTGAAAATGTGTGAATATACTATTTTTCATTTTACAAATATATTCTTCAAGTCTGTGTGCTTAATGAGTCTTATATAAAAATTTAAAAATTATCTTATGTAATCAAATCTCTTTTTGTACTATTAAGGTGCATTTTCCAACTTCAGTAATATGCTCTGCTGGGGGACAATCTTTGACATCTTTATAACAATGACGATAATTGCCTTTATATCCATAAAGTTTTATATATATATATATATATATATATATATATATATATATATATATATGATCCTATTCAATCACCATTTCCATCCACCAACTCCCCTCAGGCCTCCCATCATATCATATCCCCTCCAAAATTAATATCCTTTTTCTGTTTTGTTTTTAATGATCCACTAAGTCCATTTAGCACTGGCCATATGTGCTTGAAAGTGAGGCTATTCACTGAAGCATGGGCAACGTACCAGAAACCATACCTCCAAAGACAAATGGTTCTCCAAGAAGCTATCATGTGCTAATGGCTCCTAAGTTAGGCATCTGCCTTGAGAGGGCTTCCCTACCAATGCTGGAATTTGGGCTGTCTTGATCTCATGCGGGAATTGTGAGGATAACCACAGATGCTGTGAATTCATAGGTGCAATGCCCCTGTCACATCCAGAGAAGAGCATTCATAGCATTCTCCCCTTTCCTCTGACTGTTACAGAATTTTTGACTTCTCTTCTGCAAAAGGTTATTTTTTATGCCCTTTATGATGTTTCCCCTGAAGTGTTACATGATTCTTACTGGCTTTATAGTTATATGTATTTGTATGTAATCTTCCATTTGGCCCATTAAATACAGTTTCTGATGAGTAATTATTGATATATGACCTTTGCATGTTGATTTTGTTCTTAATGAAATATTAGTACAGAAAAGTGCACAAATAATGTGTGTGGCTTAACTATCAAAAACTGAACGTATTTGTTTACCTACTACCCAGAAGAAAAGGAACCATTTGTGGATCCCAGAAAACTACTTTTCCTTTTCTTGTGTCTCATGAATAACTGCTAAACAGACTTTAAGCAAATACTTCAATGAAATCTTTGCCGTTTTTCACAAATTAATTGATACATTAACTTATTCTTTGTGTTTGACTCCTTTTTTAACCTGACAAACATGTTGTTGCATTGTAAGTAGTCTACTACTTGAATATCACAACAGTCATCATTGGGATTGCTTCTAATTCAGGGCTATTTTAAATAGTATTTAATTCCCTGAGAATACATTTTGTTGCACATGAATATTCAATTCTTGCTGGATGTCCACCTGGGAGCAGATTTGCTTGGTTGTCTTATATGCATGGCTTCATAGGTTCTGCCACACAGTTCTGCTATCAAGCTATCAAGGTTCATTAGTCGTTGCATAGTTGTTATCTTGATGACCTTTAGAACCGTATAACGATTAACCTCTTCAAGTTAGTTATTGTATTGGCTTCCAAACACAAGCAAACAAATTAATATCTCAAATAAAACAATCATTTTGGGCTAATTAATGTGGTTATTTGGCTAGTCATACTTCACATTAGAAATCTTTAAATTGTTTTTAGATTTATTTTAGTTTTATGTGTGTGGGTGTTTTGATTTTACATGTTTGTGCACTATGTGCATGTTTGGTGCCCCAAGAGTCCAGAAGGGATCATGGATCCTCTGGAACTGGAGTTACACATGTTTGTGAGCCAACACATAGATTCTGGGAGTCAAAATAAATTTAGTAAATTATATATATATATATATATATATATATATATATATATATATAGTACTGATTAAAGTGATAAAACACATTACCATTTTTTTAAACTCTCAGCCTCAGCTCTGTTTTTCCAGAAGGAAAATTCCATATTCCAGCAGGCTTTGCCCACATGACAGCAAAAGATGCCCCTAGAAACTTTAGGCCAGTATATCCTTAGTGGAAGAGAGCTGCTCTCTTTCCTACTATCTATCTCAGTTTCTCCCATAAAATACTGATTGGCTGTATTTGAGGGATTGGTATTTGTTTGGATGGATAGACTTGATCATATGTCTATCTAGGTGGTAAGGGACAGAGAGAAAGGCATGTCAAAGCCATGCATTAAATAAGATTATTCATGTCTTCGGGACGTAGCTTTGTGATAGAGCAAATGCTTTGGATACACAAAGTTTTGACTTACACTCCTTTACCCAAAACAGCAACAACAAAGGTTTACTTTAGAATACCGGCAGAGTGGTTTCTAAAGGGATGTTAAGTAGGTGGAGACAAAGCAAATACATTATAGCATCATGCATGTTTAATTTGTTTTTGTTTTCCAGATTATTGCAAAGCATCAAATGCAATCGATTTCATTTGCCTCTGGAGGGGACCCTGTAAGTATGGAGTCATAAAAGTTCTTTTTGTGACTCCTAAGAACTCCCATACACAGAATATTAACTGTTTCATGTCCTTTCCAAATATCAACAATTTGTTACATACTGCACATATCAGGTAGAAAACAAAACAAAACAAAACAAAAAACAATTTGGGCAAATGTTTCCTGTGTCTGAATTTTAAAAGCTTAGACTTATTAGAAGGACTGCTAGCATTCTGTGGTGTTGGCAGCCACTGAGATATATCTGATTATTTTTTGTTAACATCGAAATTGTGAGAGGTGTGTGTGTTCTATGTGCATTTCCATTCCTCTTCCAGAATCATTCCCGACAGCATTCTAAGCAGACCACCAGTTGTATTTATGTAGACTGGGAATCCCATTCACTATCATTGTTGTCAACCAAGGTCATTAAGCCTAATTAATCTATAATGACCATCCAGATTTGCAAAACCCTATGGAGACACTGCTTGCCCTGGAGGGAGGATTTGCAGGTGCTCTTTGTCAATAGGTTGTATAGTGTTCATTTCCCACCTGTTGTGCAGTGTTCCTCTCCAAGACTCCTTTCAGAGTGTCGTTCCTTGATTCCTCACTGCTTCATTTCTGGACCAGAGTCTTTAGAGAGTGGCTCCATACATGGTTAATTAATTGTGGATCCATTAACAAACAGGGCACGCAGGATGGCTTTTGCTTCATGATGTGCCCAGGGGTATATTTATACTCTAACCTATTCAACTTCATCATTTGGCCTCAACTATGAAACCAAAAGTTGGATATCAGAGGAGGGGAGAGAGAGAGAGAGAGAGAGAGAGAGAGAGAGAGAGAGAGAGAGAGAGAGAGAGAGAGAACACAGTGAATCTAGATAGGAGATCACTGTTATTTCCTCTCCTCCTAGCCTATTAGATTTATCAGGAAGGGACTTGAGCATTCTTTAAAGAGACTATTTATGATGTACTTAAAAATAACGATTGGTATTTGCCTTGAATTTACCCTGTTCAAGGTTCCACAGTGGCTGTCATGTTAGGGCTAGTGCAGACCCTCATTTACTCTGTATCCAACATGGTTTGTTGTTGTTGTTCAGAATTGTAAGGCCTTCCATCTTATATTATAAAGTAGCTTTGACATTTTCAATTCATTCAAGCACTGTCCTTGCCAATATCAAGCCATCTGAATCCACTGTGGGGATATCTATACATTTCTGCAGTTGGAAAATCCACTGGATGTGTTTTAAATGATGATCTGGCTCTAGCCTAAGCATTGGCATTATGATGCCCTCTGGCAGTGAAGTTTTAGCCTCTATCAGGAAGGCCGTGTAGGCTAGTGTTATGCATTTGAGTCAAGTAGATTTGATGTACTGACTTTTCTAAGGTTTGGGGTCTTCTTTACAAGACAGGGATAATTATTGTCACCCCAGTGTTACAAGAATCAAGTGAGGTGATACACATGTGGGGTGTGTGACCTTTAGAATCCGTACCCACATTTCTTTAGGGTACACTGAGCTACTGCAGTGAAATAGCTAACTGGGTACAGGGAAAGTGAAGCTGAGCGAAAAATCCCCATGTGGTCCAGCTTCATCTTTTTTTTGTTTTGTTTGTTTTTCCTACTAGTTTGTCTCCAGTTTTCTTCTTAAACTGTGATGTTTGCTCACCTTCACTTTTATTCTTTCTCAAAAAACTTTTGTCTTGGTAGTAACTGTTCAAGCAGCTCTTGCAAATGCCTTTACAGTCATCGTGCTTTCTGTATGTCAAAAACATGGGGCAGATTTGTGAAAAATTAAAGATATTGCCTGTCATTTGTTCTTGTCACTTAACTATTCTGCAAAGTCTCCCAGATATTTACATTCAAAGGATTTTAAAGTTATTTGAAAGTTGGAGATCATTTGGAAGATGATGAAACAGGCTGGGGCATGGTCTCAGAGCCTCTCAAGTCTGAAATGACCCTGAATTCCTAGAGAAGAGAGCAAAACACATAGTCAGGACCTTATGTACTTAGAAGCCACTTCAACCCATTTTTCTCTTTGCCCAAGACATCTACTTAGGTGTGTGCTATTTTTAAAAATGACTTGAGACAGTTCTGCTGACCCTGAGATTTGCTTCCTGCGTGATTCATTGTGGTTGTTAAGTGACTATCCTGTAGGGCATTACCAACATGACTTTTACTTCCTGCCGGTAGACTGCATCTTCTCTCCAGAGACCATTTTTTTATACTCTGAAAAGGCATTGTAGGTATTTTTCCTTCTGAGAATTAAGATAATGAAAGCATGTTGAATTATTAAAACCTCACCATCCGTTGGCTGTTTTCAATACAAGCTAGAATTTCTAGCACCTTTTTGCTTGCTTTCACAAAGTCAGAGGCATATCTCCTTTTGAACTTAAGTTATTCATAGGTTCTCTGCTTTAAAACGATTTGCCCCATCTAGTGATGAAATAATTTATATTTTTGCTTTATTATTCTGTGAGCTAACTCGCATCACACACATGCAAGGCAGCAACCAAAGAAAGGCCTTTGATCAACGCATTGTCTGATGCACGAGTGTGTTGGACACAGGCCAGTCTCGATGCTACATCCCAGCTGCTGCTAGCTTTGTGACTGTACAGTTCCATTCGCCCTTCAACCCAGCTCAGGGACAGGCAGTTCGTCTTCGCTCAGTTCTCTTTTATTCTTAATGATACAGTCTGCCTCTGAATTTTCAGTCTTCACAACTCTGCCCTTGAGGGTCAGAAAATGCAGATTTGGTTGCTAAGCTCTACAGAGTATGCCACAGTGGAGCAGTTCTCAACCTGTGGGTGGTGACCCTAATTGGGGTCACCTAAGGCCATTGGAAAACAGATATTTACATTATGATTCATAACCGCAGCAAAATTATAGTTGCGAAGTAGCAACAAAACTGATTTTTGTGGTTGGGGTACCACAACTTGAGGAACTGTATTAAAGGGCCATAGCATTAGGAGAGTTGAGAACCACCCCCCTAAAGAAAGTTATGAGTAAGAGTTTGCCTCAGTGTTGGACCTTAAGGAAGTCTTACCTTCCAGTGGTTACAGTTCATTCGTTTTAAATGCAATTGTTTCTCTTTTTCACTAGGATACCACAGACTATGTTGCCTATGTAGCTAAAGATCCAGTCAATCAACGAGGTATGGAAACGTATTTCCCCAGTTTTTCCTAAGAGCTGTTAGGTATCAACAACAACAAAAAAGGTTATTTCTAATGTACATAGTAACACATAACAACGGTGCACCATCACTGTAGTAGATATTGAAGGACTCAAAGAAAACTGTGTAAATTTGAATCAGAAATAAATAATCCTACCAGCAGAGGAAAGTGGAAAGATTTGCAGGCAGTATTTAAAGGTCAGTCACTTGAAAGATTCACAAACTAAAAAGCTTATATATTTACATACTCAGAAAAGAAGCTGTTTTGGTTATAGTAGCAGGGCTTGCATATCCCTGGGTGATAAAGGAATTGCTCATAAAACTCAGTGAGGCATTGGTGTTGGCCTGGTGTGTGTGTGTGTGTGTGTGTGTGTGTGTGTGTGTGTGTGTGTGTGATATGTATGCATGTATGTATGTATGAGTGTGTCCCTCTGTGCTTGCTGCTGAAGAGCCTGGAATGTTACTTTGAGTATGTGTTTTCTTTTTTTGAGACAAGCCTTGTCTTGAACTCACCATGTAGCTAAGGATGACCTTGAACTTCTGATCCTCCTGCTTTCACATCCTAAGTGGGGTTATAGCATGCATTACCCTGCCCAGCTTTATGCAGTGCTAGGGATAGAACTCAGGGTTTTGTGGGTGCTAAGCAAGCCCTGTTAGGATCAGTTTTCCCGCCAGCCTGGTCCCAGAGCCACATCAGCCCCAAATAACACACAGAGACAGCTTTATATTTAATACTGGTGTTTCTTATTGGCTAGCTGTGTCTTAAATATTAACCCAGTTCTATTAATCTAAGTGTTTCCACGTGGTCTTATTTTACCGGTGAGAGGGTCCAGACTTCTCTCAAGTCCCTACATCTTGACTCTACTATATCTCCCAGAATCCTCCTTGTCTCCTAGTCCTGCCTATCTTGCCTTCCTATTTGCCAACAGTGCTTTATTCATTAACCAATAAGAGGAACACATCTCCCATCAAAGCCCTGTTACCTTTAGATCTCAGACGCAGAGTCCTTTTGAGAGGCCTTCGTTTGACCTATGGCATCTGTGCCTCTAGTCATATGCTCTGCTCCAACCCCACCACGACACTGTATTCCTCTTCTTGTGAACAAGCCACACGTTGTTACTTGTTTCTCTCACATACTTTCTTTTGAATGGTTCATGTGTTCTTCCTCTCAGGCTGAGATCTCCATAGAGGCAGGGACCGATCTCACTTACTGCTGTTCCTCCGCCACTCTTCACAATGGCTCAGACATAAATGATGCTCAGAAACGGTATTTTGAATGACTGAGTGGAAGAGTTAAGTGGATGTTTTGTCTCAGGGCATAAAGAATTTGCCAAAGAAATGCATCTAATGGCCATGCTTTGAGTTAAAGGCCTGAGGTTCCTTAGAAGGATGGACCTCTCTGGACAGATGTGGTTAGTTCTGTTTCTCATCCGGGACATTCAGGCTCCTCTGAGATGGGTTTAGGCCAGTTCCCCCTTAAATGGAAACTGGGAGTTGGGAACTTCCTCCCCCCTAGCAATGGAATTTGCTCCCAAATACTTGATTAACATGGAGTGGTCTTTAGGAACTGGAAGGACGATAGCTCACAAAGGTGGGCACACACATGGCATGTTTGGGAGTGCATATGGCAGAAGGAACACTCTACGGGGCAGATGGGGAAGAGCTAACGAGCAGAGATCTAGAAAGATTTATCTGGCAGGCTGCAGGAAGTGCATTTAGGGAGAAGCCTGAAGCCATGAAAGCAGTGTGATTGTCAGAGTGAAATTATGAGAAGCAGCCATTGGCATAGAGCTTGGTACATGGGAGATGCTTGATAATTACTTGCCAAGAAGGACACAGCCCTGAGAAGGCAGACAGGAAAGAGCAGGTGGCCAACACTTTAGTCCATTGAACCTGAGTCGCTCTGAGCTGCATGATGTTGAAGGATAACTGTAACAGAGCAGTTAGGAGATAGAGGAGCAGAACACAGGAAAAGCTACCAGCAAACAGCCACTGACTAACTGTTTGCATATCTGGGAAGTCCTCTAAATAACATTTGTTTCTTATAATGAAATGTATAGACAAGGGAGCAGAATCACTGCCTATATGAGTCCAGACTGAGCTATATGCCATGCTCCAGGCCAGTCTGGGACCCTCATACCCCCTTAAAGAGAGGATTAAAAAATACCATCTGGAATCCAGATGTGAATTCACCTTGGCAGCTGTCACTGTCTTAGTTTTTTTCCTGTTGCTGTGTTCATGCACCCTACCATAGTAACTTAAGGGAGAAAGGGTTTGTTCTGGCCCACTGTTTAAGGGTGGCTGTCATGGCAGGGAAGTCAAGGTAATGTGAGCCTGAAACACCAAGTCATGTCACATCCAACGTCAGGAAGCAGAGAAAGGCAAGTGCATACTTGCTGCTCAGTTCTCTTTCTCTATGTATACACTTCAGGGTCCCAGCCTGGGAATCGCACACCCATAGTGGGTGGGGCTTCCCATCTCACTTAATTCCTTACAAGCACACCCATACTGTCAAGTTCATAGTTGACACAAACATCTGAGTCAATGGATATCTGTAGACAAGTTGATGCTTCTGATTTTGAGTCACCTACAGTAAGAGTTTGAAGTTCAGAGTTAGGTTCTGACGGTGTGAGGGCTGTGTGATGGAAAATCGTTGTTCTTGATTAATTAAGTGAAGCAAGCAGGAAACATTAGGATACAGAATGCTCCTTCTATGCTGAGTGGCTCATAGAGCTGGATTGCACGAAGGGAGCCCATAGCTAGTGGCATGCAGGCTTTGAGAAGGCATTCTTGAGCATTGTTGACTGAGCTCATGGAGGGGTTTTCAGGAACAAACAGTACAGAGGGTTCATTTTTTTTTTCTTTTTATGTCAACTTGTTATACAGGTAATAAGCACAAGACACAGTCCAGAACACTAGATAGAATAGTAATGTTCCCTCATTTCAGTTGGAGGTCATAGGCTGATTCAAATCCTTAAGCCTCGTGTGTTGGTCTGTATTTGTCTATTTGCTGTGTGTTCCCACGCACATGCCATGGTGGGCAGTGGAGGTCAGAGGGCAGTTAGTTGGAGTCGTTTCCTCCTTTCCTCTTATGGGGCCCGGGAATTGAACGCAGGTCTCCATACTTGGCAGCCGGTGCCTTTACCTGTTGAGCCATCTTGACAGACCATAGTTGTCTTTTATGTTTAGCTTCTGGTGTTTGGGGATAAATAATAGAAAACATAATTTTGTTTGTCTTTCATCTTTCTTTCCTCAGGAAAATGGGTCTATGAAAACATAACTTAAATCATAAGGTGATTTTCCTGGGTTTAGAAATCAGTTCTTTCCCCTTCACCTGTTTCTCCCTTCCCTGTCTCATGCATCTGCAGAGAACCACCATAGTGTTTGAGTATACACAGAGAGAGAGAGAGAGAGAGAGAGAGAGAGAGAGAGAGAGAGAAGAGAGAGAGAGAGAGAGAGGAAAAGAGAGAGGGGGAGAGAGAGTGCATGGGGAGGAGAGGTATCAAAGGGAATAGAAGCTTTCACAGGGTCTGTGCTCAGTCAGGATCTGTGCAGGTGAAGCACAGTGTAATGAGATAACTGTGTGTGGCTGGTGAGGGCATCCGTAAAGATGGGATTTCAGAGAAGGGAAAAGAACAGAAGCCAGGGAGCCAGAGAGAATGGAGGGTGTCGGTACCTCACCAGGTGCCAGCAAAGATTTTGAGCTTTATAAAAAGTATTATGTGTGGGCTGTGGTGGCTCACACCTTTAATCCTAGCACTCAGGGCAGAGGCAGGGGGATCTCTGTGAGTCTAAGGTCAGCCTGGTCTACAGAGTTCCAGGTCATTGTACTGCAACTGTAGTTTGACGCTTCTTATAGTTGTATCTGTACAGTGATATTGGAGAGCAGAAAAGCAGTCTGGAACTGGAGATTCCAATTCAGATAAGATCTCATAAGTTCTAGTTGTTCATGGTCTAAATTTCCTCAAGGATGGAGGAACAGTTTGTACCAAATCTGTGGACTAAAAAGGGTTGATGAAGGAATAGAGAAGTTGCGTGTTCCTGGCTCCCAGTTACCACCTGCTGACTAGGCATCATCCAACATGAGTTGTAGTGAAGTGCCACTAAGGAGGTGGAGGTTTTTGTCAATAAGGATCAACAGCGAAACAGAGAAGCAAGGCAAAGAAAAGTATTGTCACGTATTACACGCTCACCACATTGCAGACACTGCCTGGTGCACTTTGTCCACGTTAACTCATGTCATCTTCATAATGTAGGTAATAATAGTATGCCATATAGATATTTGAAAACACTAAAGTTGAGAAAATCCAGCATGGTGACACACCTACACCTCCAGCACTCAGGAGGCTGAAGCAGGAAGATATAAAATTTGCAGCTATATAGACAGTCCCCATCTGGGGGAAGAATGAAAAATGTGATTTTCCTCAGGCCAATAAAGGGGTGAACCAATTCCAAGTCCTGAACACAACTTCCTTACAAAAGAGCATTGCAAGGCACCAAGAAGCATTTGAAAGAAAGATGGCCTTACTAGAAATCAAGAGCACACGCCTCACAGATGTCATATTTCATCTTTAAATTTCTAGTGTTGGGAAATGGTGAGTGTGGTTTAGAAGCAGTTAATTTTGAGTACAGCCGACTAGAGCACAGGTGCAAACATTCTGCAGGGCTGTTTGGCAATTTGCATCAAAAGGCTGTTGCCCCAGCTGATCTATAAACCAGCACTTTCATTTCTCAGGAAGTAATTAGGATGTGCACAAAGATCAAGCAATTAAAATCACTGTGGTGTAATGTTTATATGTTAAGGCAAAGATTATGCCAGTATTCATCTATAAAAAATTAAATCAGCCCATAGCATGTATAACAAGGTAGTCATGAAGACCGTTTTGGAAGAATAGATAATGACATGGGCAAAAGTCCATTATGCTGTTAAGTGCACAAAGAAGAATATGAATACTTTGTATATTGCGATCCTGCGTGATTTT